TAAAGGGGCCTCGCAAGTTCCGCGAACCTGGGTATCCATAAGCTGCAGAAGCCAGCTGATCCTAGGAATTCTCTAACTTTTTGAGGAGAGTCTGGTGTAGGTATCTTAAGAACTGTCTCTTTTCTAGCATCAGATAGCCATCTTTGTCCCTTTTTAAGTATGTACCTCAGGTAGCTTACCTCAGGTTTGCAGATTTAGGCCTTTTTGGCAGACGCCCAGTATCCCAGTCCCCCTATAACTGTTAAAAGAGTTTCTTGGTTCCATCTAGGCAGTCCTCCTGTGTCTCAGCTGCTATGAGATCATCTACATATTGTAACAGAGTCAACTGGGGGCTTTGGAGGAGGAACTCACCCAGGTCTTCATGCAGGGCCTCGTCGAAGATGGTGGGAGAATTTTTGAACCCCTGAGGTAATCGGGTCCAGGTCAATTGTCCATTGAGGCCTTGATCTGGGTCACTCTATTCAAATGCAAAGATATGCTGGCTTTTGGGTGCCAGTGGAAGACTAAAGAAGGCATCTTTGAGGTCTAAGACTGTGTACCACTGACGGCTCGGGAGAAGTGAGCTCAGAAGGGTGTATGGATTAGGCACCGTGGGGTGGATATCTATGACCCTCCTGTTTACCTCACAGAGATCCTGCACTGGTTGATAGTCATTTGAGTGGGGTTTCTGCACTGGCAGCAAAGGAGTGTTCCAGGCCGATTGACAGGGCCTTAGAATACCCTGAGCAAGTAATCTCCTGATGTGCGGAGTTATTCCCTGTCGGGCTTCTAGGGACATAGGGTACTGGCAGATGCAGACAGGGTCCGCTCCTGGCTTTAGTTCTATATATACAGGTGATCTGCGTACAGCCAGCCCCGTGCCCCCAGTTTCAGCCCAGGCTTGAGGGAACATTGCAAGCCATTTGTCCATCTCAGAGTTTGGTGGAGATGGCCCTTGGTGTAACCGGTATTCATCTTCTATGTTTACAGTCAACACTTGGATCGGTTTGCCTTTTTGATTAAGGACCTCTGTACCCCCTGGTTGGAAGTGAATTTGGGCTCCCAACTTAGTGAGCAAATCTCTCCCGAGTAATGGATACGGACAATCGGGAATGATCATGAACGAGCGGGTTACCCGGCCCACTCCCAAGTCTACCATTCTTCGGGTAGTCCATGAATATTTTTTTATACCTGTGGCTCCTAGTACCCAGGAAGTTTTGTCAGAGACATGGCCATGAGGTTCAAGTAGAACTGAATGTTGAGCTCCTGTATCCACTAGGAACTCGACAGGTTTCCCCCCCACTTTTAGGGTTACCCTGGGCTCAGGAAGGGGTGCCGAACCCCATCCCCTCTAGCGACTCAGTTAGTCCATAGCCAGGATGGGGGCCTTGGGGTGGCTTTTTGGCCTTTTAGGGCATTCTCTGGCCCAATTGCCTTCCTCTTTACAATAAGCACACTGATTCTTTCCCAATCGGGGGCGATTCCTGTGTTCCTCCTTACCTTGTCCTCTGTCACAATCTTTCTCAGATGACGTTCACGTTCCTTTGGCTCTCCCGCAGTGGTGGCAAGAAGGATCCGAGCTAGGTTCCTAGTTTGCTGATCACTAGCCTTTGCCTGTCTTTCTTCCGTGTCTCTCTATTGTTATATACTCTTTTTGCCACTGCCACTAAGTCCTGAATACTCTTTTCTCCTAACCTGTCTACTTTCTGTAACTTTCTCCTAATATCTGGCGCCGCCTGTTTGACAAAATGAATAATAACAGCTGCCTTAGTCTTGGCGGCCTCTGGATCCATGAGAGTATATCTACGGAAGGCCTCTAGGATTCTTTTAAAAAAAGCCGCTGGACTTTTATCTTTACCCTGTTGAACATCTCCTACTTTGGCCAAATTAGTGGGCTTATGAGCCACTGCTTTTAGACCTCCCAACAGAGTCTGGCGATAGACCCGGAGTCTCTCCTTACCTTCTGCCATGTTGAAGTCCCAGTCGGGCCGGGACAAAGGAAAAGAAGTGTTGATAGTGTCAACATTGAGGGTGGGTTGACCACTGTTGCCAGGAACCAATTTCCTGGCCTCGTTCTGAATCCTTTCACGTTCCTCTGTCATGAACAGGATCTGGAGGAGCTGTTGACAGTCATCTCAGGTGGGCTGGTGGGTGAACAAAACAGTCTCCAACAGTTGAATTAGATCCCTGGGATTGTCAGAAAACTTGGCGTGTTGTGTGCGCCAATTATAAAGGTCACTAGTGGCAAAGGGCCAGTACTGGAGAGGCTGATTGCCATGCTCATCAGGGGGTCCAGTTGCCCTCAATGGGAGGACAGTGGAATCCGTCGGCCCCACCACTGGTGAGGCTGTGTGGAGGCTGCGGGTGTTTGGGGCAGGGCCATCCCCTCTAGCAATGCCCGCCCGGGTATGTATTTCCTCCCCAGCTATCGTCAGGGCTCTTCCTTCTGCCGCCATTGGGGCTCTTCCCTCCTCCCCCGCCAGGGCTCCTCCCTCCGCCCTGATAGCCGACCCTGTGGGAGCTCTTCCCTCTGCCCCCAGGGTGGGCGGAGGGAGTGGAGGAGCAGGGTGCGGGCAGTAGAGAGGGGGAAAAAGGAGATCTTCCTCAGTTCCTCCTTGGAGAACTGGGTATAGCGGTGCCGTGGCTTTGGAGTCGATCTCTCTTCTTTGGCAGTCTCTTCTGGTGGTTCTCTTATGCACTGCTAGGACTGCTGCAGGTGGCTGTTTCTGTGGAGGCAAAAAGGGCTTGATCCAAGAGGGAGGGTTCTGCACCAGGTCTTCCCAGATAACGATGTATGGTTCCTGGTCAGGGTGTCCCATTCGGGGACAAAAACCAACTTCTCTAACTCTTTTGACTGTTTCTAGGTCAAATGTACCCTCTGGTGGCCAGTTTACCTTAAAAGTTGGCCATTCTGATCTGCAAAGGGTGATTAACTTTCTCTTTTTAATTTCTAAATTCAAATTATGTGCTCGCTTTCTAACTTCCCCGAAATGACCTGTTAACAAGGAAAGGGGGGTAGTCACAGTCTGTCCCATCATCTCAGTCCAAGTCAACACAGTAGACAGACACAACAGAAAAGCAAAAAAGCATGGGATGGCGGCCTCACGCCGTAGCGCAGGAGCGACCCGCACCATCCCCCTAGGAGTCCCACAGACTCATACTCATGGGGCACTTTGCCCCCTCCAGAAGGATCCCGGAACGTCTTCCAGGATCCCAGGTCAGCGGCCCTCATGGCGCGTCCGCCTAGACCATTTGCCGACCTTCCCAGAAAATGGGCCCCAGACTTTACAAACACAGAAACACTCACCAGCCAGCGTCAACCCTCCAGTATGGGAATCCTGAGGGTCTTGGGGATCCTGGACGAGCCCCCAAATGTTGTGCCCAGATCGCGAAGTCCCCAAAGACCATCAAGGAGCCAATTCCAATGTAAACACATGAGGGTCATTTATTCAAGCTCAAGCAGGGGCACTCAATCATCACCGACACAGCGGATCAGGATTGAGAGCCCCGAATTCCAAATCAGCAGGGTTTTTATTGTGGCTACTGCAAGGTTTGGGGATGTTTCATTTAGCAGTTACATGATTGGTTGATATTTAGCAAGCATGGGGGGTTGAGGGGTGGCTGCATGTAGAGTTTATGGGAAAAAGGAACAATCAGCACATTGACAGAATGTTCTATAGATAATGGGCCCGGGAGCATCTGTTTTCTGGGCAGACAGAGGATTGAGTTAGGAGCTGTGTCTTTTTATCTGTTGTCCCACAGCAAGGACATTTTATCATTATTTTATGGACACAAAGGAGACTAGGGGAATAGTTGACTTCAGTGAAGTGAAATTTATGTCAAGGCCACTTCACTGTCTTATTTTAAGATGGAGTCAAACTTTAAAATAGAGTTGGTTAGGTCTCACACTTCCCTTTGCTTCTAACACACTATATTACTACCACTTTCTGAAGAGTTTGAAAGGCCTCCTGTCTATAGTTGTACTATTGTGGCTGCCTGGATGTCCTGAATTTATTCAAAATGTTTACCTTTCATGGTGATTTTGACTTAAACAGCCAGAAATAGCATGGTGCCAGATCCAGTGCATAAATTGGGTAAGAATACAGCATAACTTCCTTATACGTCTGCCTTCCCATTGGCTGGCACTAAGCAGCACAAGTTACTGCTTATTTATCACATTTCCTAAAGGCAACTATGAAAGAGGACTTTTAGAGCTGCTTCAGAAAGTGACAAGAAAGATGGGATTAGTGTGTTTTAAAGTGAATATTTTGAGGGGTTGTAGGGAACAGGGGAAGGGGACTTTACCAGAATCTCTGGAGTGAGTCCTGGTCTCCCGTGAGCCATGGAAGCACATGGCGAATTACAGGAAAGGTAGAAAAATGAGACTGAGAAGCTGAGCTTTGGATCTGATCAGCACTGCTCAGGGCAGCAAAGACAAAAGCCCCCAGCTTACTACACCTTTTACTCAGTACATCGGGAGAAACAAAGGTAACAAATGGCTTGCAGAGAGTTCTGTACATCTGCGTAAACAAGATGGTAAAGGTCCAAGAATAATGAGGAACTGAGTGGATGTTTTGTTCCTCCCAGGATGTTTCTTGTCCTGGAGAATCACAGCATCACCAGATCATTGAGGTCTCAGTTGTGACCAGAGGCCAAAATGCAATTATGTCCCGGAATTCCATAGCTGGGCTGTAGGCAGGAGAACTAGGTTAACCAAATGATTTTTCCCTAAAATTATGTACCATTGCTCCCAACAAGGGGTATTAATGGAAATGTGTCTGTTACTGTAACAAAATTTTCTATTTAAACATGCACCATATAATTTGATCATACCTTGTATACATTTTGAAAATGAAATATATACTATATCTGATACATATATTACTTTGGGTAAGGATTTCTTTTCCCCTTGTCCTGCCATCATCATCTTAACACTGCTAACCCTTCTTAGCCCTCTTATTAGGTCCTGAGTTCCTCTGGCCACTGTTCCCAACCATGGAGTATCTGCTGGCCAAGACCTCAGACAGACAGAGTAGGACATGAGTTTCACCTGGAGCAGGGTAATCACAGACATTATGCTGCTCTCTTTCCCAGGGCCATCCTTTCTTGCCCACTGTAGTTGATGGAGTAGTACTGTCAAAGACACCTAAAGAGATTCTGGAAGAAAAGAATTTCCACACCATCCCCTACATAGTGGGAATCAACAAGCAAGAGTTTGGCTGGATCCTTCCAATGGTGAGAATGCATGAGCCTCCTATCTCCTGTTTTACCTTAAACTCTGCTGCTATGAATTCTTCCTTCTCCAAGATCCTCTCTAAGCCCAGAGAAGCTGTCCTCATTGGCACAAGTGGACATTTTCTTGGAAACTTCCAGAATGGCTCAGCTGTCCCAGGGATGGTGTAACTCTGACAACCCCTATCCCCAAACACTCTGTTTTCCCTTTAAAGGATATTAAAGTAGGACTGGGAAGCCTGCAGAAGTAATAATTGTGCAGGTGAAAAAACCCAGGAAGCCTAAAGAGGGCTAGGAGCCAGGAGTTCAGGAGAGTCAGCCTGGGGCACAATAGCTTCCCCTTGGGCCTGCACTCACAGGTCCCATTGATCTCCACACGTCCTCTCAGGCCCCTCATTGGAAAGACTCAGAGAAAGTACCTTCTCTTTGAGTTAAAACTGGCTTCTAAAGGAGTAGAAGAGCTTTTCCTCTGTCAAAGATAAAGCTAAAAACTAGTTAAAGCAGTAGGACAGGTTTTACTGATGGCAGTAGGGAAGTGATCATGCATGACATGAGTACAAATCCCTGACACCGAAGGATGGAAACATTTCCAAGGTGGGTGAGCTCAGGAAGGCACTGCAAGTATGAGGTGTGAGACCATTTGGCCAGAACACTGGATTTGTTCATGCACACCCATCTGCAGGGAAACAGACTTCTTTGTCTCCAGGACAAGAAGCAGGTGTGTAATTGAAGTGAGAGATTGGCTGGAAGGTCAAGAGTTACTTTTGCAAATATCTACATTTCAAACAGGTTTCAAAATACTCCAAAAAGTTTTCAATCAGATCCTTGAGAGAACAGTTTTGGGTGAGAGAGTTATATCTCAAAGGACAAAAAAAAAAAAATTTGATGAGTGCAAACTTTCTAAGGTAATTGCTTGTGTGCCTATGACCGCTATGGTAGTACTGAGTGTTCTCAGATTGGCATCTTAGAGGCCTGGGGTCATTCAATACAAGGCCTTAATGTACTAGAAGCCAGGCAAGAGTCTACATACAGGTCAAGTCTACAAATGCAGAGGTTTGGACAGAGGTGTCACATGCTGAGAGTTCTATAGTTCTTACTTCAGAAGGATCCCAGAGGTTATCAAAGGAACAAACCCATACTGATTGATTTTGTTTTCCTCAGTAAACTGAGTCTGTGGAATAGTCAGTACCCTCTGTCCCTAAGTCCTCTGCTTCAACAGTGTCCTGGCCTAAATCTTTCCCTACTGCCTGGGTGACTGTTGTGTCCCCTTATGATAAATAGTATGTGCTGATGATGTATTCTTTGTATTCTTTGAACTTCATCTGTAAGTCTATTTATTTAATTTATTTTTTCAAACTTACAAAAGGCCTAGGGCTATCAGAGACCAACAAAGAATCTGTATTCTATGTTGGTTTGGTTGGTTGGCCTGTTTGGTTGTTACTTACTTCTGATGATTTGAAAATTCTTAACCATTCTTTAAACAGATGATGGGCTATCCAATCTCTGAAGGCAAGCTGGACCAGCAGACAGCCGCATCACTCTTGTGGAAGTCCTACTCCATTCTTGTAAGTGTCTAGGGAATCAATGGGAATTGGCTGGTTGACAATGAGTGAAGGGTAGGGGTCTTGCCCCAAATCACCAACCAAATTCAAAAGCAGAAAAAAAGAGTGGGATCTGAGGTTCGATCTGCATTTTCTGCCCTTTCCACTTTGACTGCACCAGCCATCACTAGTCGAACAGTACCTGAGAGGAGGGGAGAGGATGAAAGAAAAACACAACCTCTGAGGAAAAGAAAAAGGAGAGAGGCGGAGGGGGGACCCTCTTCCCACTTTATTGCCCTTTATATACCTTTTCCACAATCCCCAACCCCTCCTCTACACATAATTCAGCGCCTAATTATTTTCCAGGGAAAAGGTCAAATGTATCTTTACAACTCCGGGAATAACGTTCCCTTGCACTGCAGACATTCGAACTCTTTCTATTTAACCACTCTCGTTACAAGTAACCATCCTTGTTTTTGTGCCAGCTACATATCCAGGATTCATTATGTTCTCAAGAGACTCAGAGGTCTCTTAAGGTTATTTCAACCTTTTGCTCTCCACACCACTTCAGTAGCCAAGCGGGGATTTGCACAGGGCTTGAGAGAATCACCATCAGTGAACCCTGCCTCCCTGCCTGGAGAAGCCACATTACTCACCAGGTAGGCATGGTCACTTTCTTCATGCATTTCAGAACATCCCTGAGGAACTGACTCCTGTGGTCACCGAGAAGTATTTAGGAGGGACAGATGATCATTTCAAAAAGAAAGACCTATTCCTGGACTTGATTGCAGACTTGGTATTTGGTGTCCCTGCTGTGACTGTGGCTCGTAGCCACAGAGGTGAGTCCTAGAAGCTGGATAGGAGAAGAACACTGACTCACTGGCTTTGGTGTCTGACTCCCCACCCCCATCCCCACCCCCACCTTTCCAACATAGACAGATTGGAAACTGCTAAGGGTCAGGCCTGAAAGGCTCATACTATGTTGTTTAGGGAAAGGCTCTATTCTATGTTGGTATTTGCCAATAGTGAATGCTGAGAAAAGAATTCAAATGAACCTCTGCTTCCTATTTCACATTATCTATTATACATTTTGGCCCTCATTTACACTTTTAGTTTCTCACACCAAAGAGACAATTTGGTATTTACACATGTGTGTCCTATTTATTTCACTTGAGAGTATGGCCTTGATATGTATCCATTTAGCTATAAATGTCTCTAGTTTATTGTTCTCTATGGCTGAGCAGTACTCCATTTTATATTTTTAAAAAACCCATATCTTCTTTTTCCAGTTACCAGTTGATGGGCATTTGGGTTAGCTGTTACAAACTGTGCCACTATAAACATGGATGCATATATTTCACTGAGGTATGATGCTTTTACTTCTTTTGAGAAAGTACCCAGAAGGGAAATAGCTGGGTCAAATGGGAATTCTAATCCTAGTTTTTTGAGGAATCTCCATACTGTATGGGGGAGAGTAGGAGGAAAGAAAAGAAAAAACAAAATATGAGGAAAGAAGGAAAAAATGGAAACAAAGCTTTTGTAAATAGGGAGGGGTAGAGAGATGGAAAGGAGGGAAGGGGAATGGGAAAATAAAGCAAGAACTAAGATATATCACATATAGGTACAAATTCCCAATGATGAATGTGATTATAGTGTACACCTAAAATGCACCAATTAAGTTAATTAAATAAAAAGAAAAGAATTCAAATCAAAGGAGTTAGTTTGAGAGATGATTCCAGAAAATATCAGTAGGGAGATGAGAAAGTGACACAGGAAGGAGCTGGAAGCCAGTGAGTCATGCACTGCCAAGCATGTGTCCCTTGTAGACAAGTAGGGCTCTGGGAAACAAGTGCAAAATACATCTTAGTATTGTCTGTCCTGAGTGGCAAAAGGCTAGGCATTTGTCCACTAATAATTCATCATTGGTTAAAGGCTGTTCCTAGGGGCTACTGCTTTGACCAGCTGCAAACATAGGTTCAGTGGTTTCTAATGGCCAAACAAAAGCCTATGCAAAGAGCTAGAGATGCAAGAGGTATAAGTCAGGCTGGCCTGAATGGAATCATGGATTATGAGTGAGACACCTTCAACATCTGCCACAAAGCTCCTTCTCTGAGGTTAGGCTCATACATGGGACTTAGAAAGCAAGCATGGGAAGATGGGTCCTGTAGTGTTTTCAAGGCCAGCACTAGTCCTGAACTAGATTAACAGTTGGATCTACTGGAAGTGTGGGAGTCAAGTGTGAGGTCAAGAGGGATGCCCAAGAATGAGAGTGCTAAAAGGAGGGCCACTAGGAGTTGCAGAGGAAGGGAATCTGGCAATTTTCAGTCTCTGTGCTGAGTTTCTTCTGTCTTGGTGTGTGCCCCTATCATCAAGCTGAAGGTCAACTGCGGTCCATCAAAGGACCTTTTGTCATTGAACTGAGGCTATGCAGATGGAGTGTGAGACTAAGGATAGATGAGCTTCCCTAAGTGAGAAGCAGAAGCCACTCTTTTTCTACCAGTCATCATTTACCTAGTCTCAAGGCAGGAAATGGTTTGTGGTCCAGATCTCTCTTTCTCACCTACTAGAATGTTTCAAGATTCAGAACTTTATTCCTCACAGGGAATTAATATCTAGAATATGTAAAGAACCCAAAAAATATTAGACTACCTAAAAGACCCAATCAAGAAATGGCAACTAAAACGTATAGATACTTCAAAAAAGTACAAATGCCCAACAAACATATGAAAAAATGTTCAACATCTTTGGCCATTAGAGAAATTCAAATTAAAATAATGCTAAGATTTTATGCCAGGAAAAAGTGGCAATCAACAAGAAATCAAATAACAAATGTTGACATGGCTGTGATGATAAAGGAACCTTTTCTCCTACATTTTTGGCAGGAATGAAAATTAGTAGAACCACTATGGAAATTGAAATGGCAATTTCTCAAAAAACTAAAGTTAGAAATTGCATTTGACTCAGCTATTCCCCACACAGCTAGCTCACAAAAGAGCTAAAAATGGGCTGGGAATTTAGCTCAGTGGTTCCAGCACATGCTGTGCAAGCTCAAGGTCCCAAGTTTGATCCCTGGTACCCCCCCAAAAAGCTAAAGATATCATAGTACAGTGATACAAGCCTATCGATGTGTATAGCAGCACAATTCATAATAGCTAAATCCTAGAAGCAGCCTGTATGCCCATCAACAGATGAGTGGATAAAGAAAATGTGGTATTTGTACATAATGGAATATTTCTTGGCTATAAACAAAGATGAACTCGAGACATTTGTAGGAAAATGGATGCAACTGTTTTACTCTCTGCATTTGCAGTTACCTCTGGTCAACTGTGGGTGAGAAGAAAAAGAAGGTGAACACAGTACAGAAATGTATTTTGAGGGCTGGGGATTTAGCTCAGTGGTTCCGGCACCTGCCTTGCAAGCGCAAGGTCCTGAGTTCGATCCCCAGTGCCCCCCCCAAAAAAGGAAATGTATTTTGAGAGAGAGAAACAGATAAAACAACCCTATTTTTTATGTTGTATACTGTTAAAGTGTATTTATATGAATAGGTGGGAGTACAAATGATAGCAATGATTTAGGAATACAATTTAGAATAATTACATCAAATTGATTAATATACTTGTCTCTTTAAATGCTGAACATTTTTATAGTGATAAGGCTTTTAATTTCCTGTATTAAACATATTAGAATGAACAATTCTCTATAATTAACTATATTCATCACACTGCATATAGAACTCAGGAAAATAAGATGTTCCTCCTGTCTGAAATTTTGTACCCTTTCGTGATCATCTTCCTCTCCCCTTCACCTGCAACTTATATAATCAACATTTCTGTCATGTTTTGATGAATTCAGTTGTTTTAGATTCCACTTAGAAGGTCACCTGGAGTCTATCACAGGACCATTTATTTTTCCATTAAACTAAAGCTATGAGGATGGAGTGTGAGACTGAGGATAGGTGAGCTCTTCTAAATAGAAGGTGTCCCCTTCTGGTCACCATTTGGGAAGCCTCACAGGACTCTTTCTTTTTCTATCACTTGTAATGCCTCCTCTTTCATTTCTAATTTTACCTGTTTTAGTCTTGTCTATCTATCTATGTATCTACATACATATGTATCTATTAATCATCAGTCTATCTCTTCTTGGTTAGAATAGCTAAAAATTTATAATTTGTTTTTAGTTTTAAAAAACAACTCATGGTTTTGTCAATTCTTTTCTTTTTTAGAGTTTCCAATTAATTTCTAATCAGACATTATTCTTTTGCTACCTTCAGGCTTACTTTGTTCTTTATTTTCTGAAGGTTTAGCTTTGTTTATTTGAGATCTTATTTTTAGATGTAAATATTTATTGCTATAAACTTTATTATAACCACATTTGGTATGTGCCCTAATTTTGGTATTTTGTTTCATTTTCATATGTCTGAATATATATATATATATTTTTTAATTCTTTTATTGGTACATTTTAGGTATACAATACATTTGCATTTATCATTGGGTGCTTGTACCTATACATGATGTTTCTTGGTTCTTACTTGCAGAAACTGTCTAATTTCTGCTTTAATTTCCTCTGTGACCCATTGGTTGTTCAGGAGGGTGTTATTCACCTTCCATGTTTTTGTGGGAGTTTTGCAGTTTCTTACGTTATTGACCTCCAATTTTATTGCCCTATGGTCTGATAAAACACAGGGGGTAACTTCAGTTCTTTTACATTTACTTAGACATGTCCTATGAGCTAGCATGTGGTCTATTTTGGAGAATGACCCATGTGCAGCTGTAAAGAATGTATATTCTGATTTTGTGGGGTGGAACACTCAGTAAACATATATTATGTCCATTTTCTCAATAGCTTGGTTCAGTTCTAAAATTTCGCTGTTGATTTTTTGTCTAGATGATCTGTCTGTTTGTGACAGTGGGGTATTGAATTCCTCCAATACAATTGTATTAGTGGTTATTTGGTTTTTCATGTCCATTAATAGTTGTTTTGGAGGACTGGGGATATAGCTCAGTGGTGCCGCCACCTGCCCCGCAAGTGCAAGGACCCAAGTTCGAGCTCCAGTACCAAAATAAAAAATTTTTCTTTGTATAGTTGCGGGCATTCATATTTGGTGCATGTATATTTAGGATTCTCATCTCTTCCTCTTGGATTTTTCCCTTCACAAGGATGTAGTGACCATCTTTGTCTCTCTTAATTAGTTTTGGTTTGAAATCCACTTTGTCTGCAAATAAGATTGCCACACCTGCTTTTTTCTGGGTTCCTGTCACATGGAGAACTGTTTTCCATCCTTTTACTTTCAGTCTATTTTGAGTTAGGTGTGTTTCTTGTGTACAGAATATTGCTGGATTTTGCTTCTTAACCCATTCTGTCAGTCTATTTCTTTTGATTGGTGAATTGAGGCCATCAACATTGAGAGTTATAATTGATAGATATTGGCTCATGCTTGTCATGATGTTTTGCTGTTGTTGGCTCTTTTATGTCTTATTTTTCCCCCTTTCCCTTTTGTTTCTTAACTTGCCTGGTGGCTTCCCTCTGTTGGGCCTCATGGAGTTGTGACCTTCATTGTCTTTTTCTAGGATATTGCTTAGAATTGATTGGAGTGCTGGTTTGGTGTTCATGAAATTTCTCAGGTGTTCTTTGTCGTGGAAGTATCAAATTTCCTCATCGATTTTGAAAGATAATTTTGCCAGATACAACAGTCTAGGTTGGAAGTTATTTTCTTTTAGGGCTTGAAATACTTCATTCCATGCTCACCTTGATTTGAGGGTTTGTGTTGAGAAGTCTCCTATGATTCTGATGGGCTTTCCTTTGTAGGTGATTTGCTTCTTTTCTCTAACTGCCTGTA